TAATACTAGCGCAGAACAGGAGGCAATTTAAGGAGAATATTTTATCCTTTTAACAAACAACTTGAGTGAGCATGGTAAGAGCAGCTTTAGTGGCAGGGCAAGAATAAAGGCTTTGTTTTCGAGTTGCCAAAACTAAGTAGGTATAATGCAAATATGCAGACAACACACAGAAATTTGGCCAAAGAGAAGAAGGAGAATAAATAATAAAAGTGCATACGCGGTAAAGTGAACGTTTTTCCTGAACAACTTGAATACATTTAAATGCTTTGGAACAGAAGCCAGTTTATATAGTAGAAAAGACAGGAGTCTGAAACAGAACACATTTGTAAGTAGCATGTCACAGAAGATAAAATGAAACTGAGCTCCTTAACTTACTAATGGATAGTCTTTTAACTTGTTACAACTGAGTGAAGATTTGATGGAAGGTATCCAAATCATAAACTCATTCTAATTACATTTCTGAGAACTTAGCCCAGGGAATCATTGTAACATATAGAAGAGACTTAATATGTAGCCAAAAATTCTCCAGACACTATCTTACACTGATGAGTAGCTAGGGAAGTCACAGGCAAGTGTGACTTACAATTGTTAGCACAACGTACAGTCCAGTTAACAAATGACAGGAACATATCAAATGAAACAATTATGTGTGTAGGGTTACATGGAACTCTTTAAAGCGCAAAGACATCTATCACCATTATGCTTTTCAAAATGCACTAAAATACTAAAAGAAAGTATTTTAAATGTTTAAAAATGTTTTGACTAGGAAAAATAAAATATGAATAATTTTTTCTTTGTCTACTCCAAATTTCTTTTTCTTATAGAAAACAAGTAACAATGTAGTTTAAACTTCTAAAGGTCAGCATTTAAGGAATCCTCAGCAACAAGAACTGCTTTCAGTTTCTATTATTCCCAATTAAAACCCTCATTTCTAACTTTTCGACTTGGTCTTTGCCTATTTCCCAAAGCAGTTTTACAAAAGCTGCTCTCCCCAGTGCAGCATCCCCTTGCTCTGCTGGCTGTTCTTCTAAATCTTCAGCCCTCTAGCATTTTCAAAGCTCACCCCAAATTTCCCAGCCACAGTAGCCCTGCTCTTCCTGACACCCACAGCACCAGTCTACTTATTTATCTAGCACTCTGTACAAGACATCTTCCCAGAATTCCTTGGAGGAACACTTGAAACTCATATTATCTGCCCAAGCAGCCAACTTTCCTATCTGGAGGAGACAAAAGGAATATAATATACTTAAAGGGCTCAGTCATAAAGCCATTCTAGAAGGAACTGTTGACGCTACAGAGGAGAAGACGGCTTGAATGCCCGCAATGAAGGGTCATTTCTGGATTATAACAACTAAACACACACTGGATCGCCTCATTAACCTTTCATATACAATTGTACATGTACTTGGTTTTAAATTTCTTTCATCTGGGAGTTTTGTCTAATATAATTTAACCCCTTATTCTAACAGAAGAGGCGGGCAGACTCCCAGGAGAGAGGAAGGGAAAGCTACGTATCATTTCAAAGAAGGACTAGAAGAACAAAAGACAAAAGAGACTCAGTAGGATACTCAAGTGTACATCTTCACTTGCTTCAAATATTAACTCCTAAAGAAAACCATGATTATTCTTTAAGGAAAACAATGTTCAGAGACAGTCAATAACACTAAAGGTGGGTCAGCCCTGATAATTTCACAATTATTTCAAAAAGAAATAAAAACTCAAAAACGAAACTTCAATTTGAAGATAAAAGAAACACATGAGACCAGAAAGCATCAAAGGTAAGAGTATTAAAGAAAAAAAAGACTCAAAACAGTGAGTTGCCCACATATTCAAAGAAGTAAACAGAAAAGACAACCTTAATAAAATTGTAATTCAATTAAATTTTTTAAAAAACATGAATGTGTCTTATATATCTAGACGTCTGAGAGAACCCTTCCGTCCATCTTCTCCAGCTATGAAATGATAAATGTGCAGCTACTACATACAATAATGACTGCCACTTACCCCATTATAACCAGGGTCAATACCTCCCATTTCTACTTTATGATCTTAATTTATGCACAAATAACTACTTTGTTTTCTATTAAATTCTGTTTTAATGCATTCTTTAAACACACTAGTTTGCATATTTAAAGACAAAGCATTTAAAGAGTCAATGCATATAAATTCATAGTTTATATGGACAATTATATAATGACCTCAGCATAAAATACTTCTGCTGATTTTTCTTCTCACCTATTACTTCACACCTACTGAGAGTAAAGCCTGAATTAACATACACAAACTTTATTATTCTAGGCCTAAAATTCAGTGCTCATACCACTAACTTAAATACCTTAAAAGAGAATGATATATTTAAAGAAAAAAATTTATGTTCCCTATGGGAACTTAGAAATACAAATCTCATTCATTCACTGTCTAATAAAAATAACTTTGCCAAGTTGAGTAATGGGTAATTTATACTGCTGACATATTTTGCTGGATCCAAATGAGTAGCAAAATTAGAATTATTAAAAAAAAATTAGAATTATTTTTATCTTCATACATTTTTGTCAACTATCTACCCAACAATGGTGAAGTAGTCATACAGATACCAAAATATAATTAAAACTAGCATTGTTTTATTAACAAACCTGTTTCTAAACTAGACTTTTAAGATGACACAACTTTAAAATTCCCTCTTTACTATCTTCACATTGGTGACACTACACTCAAATGTCACTTCAACTACTACGTTGAAGAAATGAAGAAGAAAAGATAACTGTCTTGGTGTAACCAAAAATTCCTAAAGATTAGGTTATTCTCAAGTTACATGAGAATAACCAAGCAAAACATCCAGGTATGCAGAAGTAACCTGCTAAATTATTACAATACCACCTGCCTACACTAGCTCAAAGAAAGAGCCTTCAAAAGATCTCTGTTAGAACGATGCTAAAATTCTCTGACAAGAGATGGGGGGAAAGAAACACACACTTGTCATGAGAGTAATTCTATAAACCATAATAAAAAAGAGAAAACTCAAAGCTATTCAACAAAGCAAAGAAGGAGAGATACCATTCTGTTCATTTCAGCTTTAAGTTTCTCCATTACTGATCTCCATAGACAGCTAACCATCCCACACAACACAGGCACCACAACTTTTACAGTGTAAAGCTGGGCTCAGGTCCAGTCAAATCACTGCTAAAATGACCAGAATTTGTCAATCAACTGATCTTTAAATAAAGCACACAGGTTTATAGTGTGAGGTCTGGCAAAGAAAAAATAAGGATAAGCCAGGCAGTGGTGGCACACACCTTTAATCCCAGCACTTGGGAGACAGAGGCAGGTAGATCTCTGTGAGTTCATGGCCAGCCTGGTCTACGGGAACTAGTGCCAGGACAGGCTCAAAAGCTACAAAGAAACTCCAGTCTTGAAAAACCAAAAAGAGAAAAGAGAGAGAGAGAGAAAGAAAGAAAAAAAGGATAAAAATCTATTAAATAATACCTGTTCTCATAGGACAACTCAAATTTCCACTATATCATTAAAGGTTACATTCTACCTCTGTCTTTTGGGATTTGGGAAGCATTTCGATCAGTTATAAACATCAAAACTTTCAAATAATAAAAATTTAGTAAGGAAACAATTTTAAGTTACCAAAAAGCCAAAGGACAGATATTCAAGACTGCATACCTTATCTACAAAAGAATACAACCAGAGAATAGCTTGATAAGACAGGCAGAGTTCAAGATGGCAGAATCCCTTTCTTGTTGAACTGAACTGAAAACACTAAAAACACCATCCATTTTGTTTTTATCCTGCACATGGTAGTAAAACAGAGGGGAAAGCCTCACACAAAAAGCTGAATGGCCCAAAGAAAACCTATGTGTTGACAAGAACCTAATGGCACATGCAGGTACGCATCTTTTATACTTGATGTGATACACTTACATGGCCCCTGCTGAATCTCTTGGGGACCAACAGTAAAGCAAGTTTAGAACTTCAAATCTTGAGACATCTACAGCAAGATGCTGATCCAATGTGGCTCCAAACATCTTCTGTTTTCCTGGCTCACCTGAAGAGGAAAAAACACTACAGAGGATGTGGGAACTGAATTTCTTTCTGTAGTTTCTTCTAGAGCAACTGTCTGAGAGATTTGGCCCTGTCCTTTGTGAAGTCTGGAGATGAAACACTTGAAGGACTAGTGAAAAATAATTTCAAATGAAAAGATGGCGTGGAGAATATCTGAGCAAAAGCTACTCATTGTAGGCCAATCAGTGTTTCTAACCCACTAAGTGGGAGGAAATAGAAAAAAGAGAAAATGCAGTGTTTCTCCTCCACCTCCTCCCCCAGTTGTGACTGAAATTCATGGAGCACCTAACTTCTGACCACATGAGGGAGGCTGAGCACTTGGTCCAGTCTCATCCCTGGCTGTGCGACCTTGTTAAGCAGCAGGGAGGCCTTTCAGATAATACCCTTGTCTAAGAAAAGTTTCTGGTGGATATAAGTTGAAGAAATAATGAAAGAGAAAAATGCACTGAACTTATGTAAAAACGAAAAGCACGGTGATATACCCATACTGGCAAATTATATCTGATTCTGTTTTTCAAAAGATTTGGGACAGATTCTTTGAAATTAGAAACCAGAAAAAAAGGGGAAAAGAAGCAATTTCCAAATAATAGAAAATGTTTTCAAGCCAAACACAACACGAGCTGCATGATTCATCTTTCTAGGAAACACTATTCCTAGAAAAATCATCTTTAAAAAGCTAAGATTAGTACAACCAAATCTCAGGAATATTATAACACAGAGAGCATTAAAACTGTTGCCAATAATATTGGTTAGATTCACTTTAATTAACTTCTAGAGTATTTTATTAAATCTTGTATTATTATGGCTATTCTCTATAGACATAAAGCTTTTTCAAATGTATTCCAATATAATCAGAATTTATTTGAATTATGCTTGATAAAAATACAAGAATTTTCTGGAAAATATGATTAGAGAACAAATTAGCCCCTTACCTGACGTGGTTGTTCATTCATCCGTTGTGGGTCTGACTTCACTTTATTGTTGGGGTGGTTTGTGACTTTGGTGACTGGTTGCTTGAAAATTGATGCAGTTTGTCTAATTGGCAATGTTGTGTTCAAGTCTGGTTTACCCTGTAAATAGAAATGTTTTCATTAATACAATATGTAAAGAAAATTGGATCAATACCTTTTTAAACTCAACATCCATAATTTTAAAAGAATATATAACCATTATTCCAACTCTTGGTCTGTGTCAGTACTTTTTTATTTGTTTGATTGATTAATTTTCGAGACAGGGTTTCTCTATAGCTTTGGAGCCTGTTCTGGAACTAGATCTTGTAGACCAGGCTGGCCTTGAACTCACAGAGATCTACCTGCCTCTATCTCCGGAGTGCTGGGATTAAAGGCATGCACCACTACTGCCTGGCAGCACTTTGAATATTTTAAAGGTACATTTAAAAGAAAAATACTTATTTTATGATGTAGATTCCCCTTTATATGCTTTGAATACCACTGGTTAATAAAGATGCTGCTTTGGGCCTATTGCAGCACAGAATAAGGCAAAGTAGAATTCCAACCAGATATAGGAGAGAGTAGGCGGAGTCAGAGAGAGGCCATGTAGCCGCTGCAGAAGACAGATGCCGGACGTCGGATGGAAACTTACCTTCCACAACCATGTGGTGATATACAGATTAATAGAAATGGGTTAATTTAAGATATAAGAGTTAGCCAGAAATATGCCTAAGATAATAGGCCAAGCAGTGTTTTAACTAATACAGTTTCTGTGTGGTTATTTTGGGTCTGGATGGCCAGGAAACAAACAAGCAGCCTCCGCCAACAATTGTGTATGTGTATGAGCCTGTGTGTATGTATGTGAACCATGTGCATGCAAGAGCATGAAAAGGTCAGAAGCAATGTTAAAATGCCCTGGAATTGGAGTCACAAACAGTTATGAGACCCTGTGTGGGTGCTGAGAACTCAACTCGGGTCCTCTGAAAGAGCAATATGGGTTCTTAACTGCTGAGTCATCCCTCCAGTTCCTCTAAAAGTTTGTTTTAAGCACTTTATTATGTATTATTTTTCATAATTAAGGTATACTTTCAATTCTTTGTATAATATTAATTATCTAATTAGCAGAATATTAAGGACATTAATATATCTGAGAAAGAATAAGAACTTTAAAGTTGCAATCAGGATAACGGTTATTTCTATATTCTAAGACTAGGACAAATACTAGCCTTAAATATTTAAGCATTAAAACCTAACTTGATTGACTAGCAATGAGACCAGACTTAACATAAAAAAATAACATTAAATTACTGATTCTAGTAAACAGAATTCATTCTAGAAAATGTTGATAAAATAAGACATGGCCAAATTAAAATATCAAAATTTGAGCATTGCTAATAAAAATGGAAATTTCACATGTGATCTCATACAACTAGGTGCAAACAAGCAAAGGTTCCCAGAAAGTGCATTAGCTTGCCCTCTGTACACACAATTGGTGCATGTATTTGAAAACCAACAGACTGCATTACCAACTTGGGTCTGACCATAATGTGAGGCCTACCCACTTACATATGTGGAAATATTCCAAAGTCTAAAAAGTCTGGCAGAAGTATTCTGCATAAGGAATAATTGTCCTGTATTCCTGTTTAGTTTATTGAAACAATCTCTCACTACATATCCCAGGCTTGAACAGAAACTCATTACGGAGCTCAGGCTGCCTGTGACAAGCACGCAGCCAGCCTGACAGCCAGTCCTTAGTTCTGTTATGTGTTACACTTCTTGCTTTTGGGAAGACTTAAAATCAAAGCTTTGGAAAGCTATATGATAGGTTATTCAAATTTGGATCATCCAGTAAATAATATGTCAGACATGTTTTCGTAAGGTCAAACTGTAAAACAGAACTGCTCTTCATTTGCAAAACTCAATGGAATGATAACAAAAAGGACGGGACAAAAATCATTGCTATTTTGATACTGACAAAAGATGTAAAAAGTTGATGTCAAGAGTCCTCCTCTCTTTACCTTACTTTTATAGACAAGATGTCTCACTGAACCTGACGCTTACCAATTTGACTAGACCAACTGGCCAGAAAGAGCCAGGGATCCTCGTGTCTGCCTCTCTAGCACTGGAGTTACAGGTGGGGAACAGGCTTGGTGCATTTTTGTGGGGTCTAGGGGTGTGCATTTTTTAAAACTTCTGAAGTTAATTCTGGGGTACATACAGGGAATCAAGCATTTCTAGCCAACAACATTTAGAACACCAAGGTCCTAAACAACAGAGTCATCCAACCTAAGGCCAATGTTCAGTCTTCAGGAATCCTAATTCTTAAGGATGACAACCTGCTGTCATTAAGATTATAAATACATCACTAAACAGTATCATGTTTGGTTAACATGTTCTTTAATTAAAAAAAAACAATATGCTTTGCTGGTACTAGATCAAATACAGCATGAGCAGATACAGAAGTAACTGCGACTGTTTGTATACACAAGCGTATCCAAGTCGAGATTCATTCTAGAAAGGATAAAGTGGGCCTACTCTTCACTATAACGAACTATGAGTCTTAAATCCGCAAAGACTGAAAGTATGGAACATTTGAAATTAGCAGTGTTAAAAATGCTAAAGTTGGCAGGATAGAGGTGGCACACACGTTTAAACCGAGAACTCAAGAGGCAGGGGCAGTCGGATCTCTCTGAGTATGAGACCAGCCTGGTCTACAGAGTGAGTTCCAGGACACCGTTACCTAAATAAAATAAATAAATAAAAACTAACAACCAAACAAACGGAACAAACGCTAAGGTTGGTGAGTGAGTGAGTAAGTGAGTGAGTGTGTGTGTGTGTGTGTGTGTGTATGCTATTGGACCAATAAAGAAAAATTAGAAGAACCTGCTAAAAAATATAAGATACATTGTTAGGTTCTACTGTCTAATTGAGATGGTTCACTCTGTTGTATCTTAAAGAACCCTAGCCTAGTTCCTAAGGAAGACAACTGCATAGAGTAAGGCACTAAGAATGTACGTCATCATTCTTCTCTTGACTTCTCAAACATTTTTAAGCACTTCTTTTACTTTTGACTGGCTAACATTTTTGACAATTTTGTATTTAAAACATTCTCTTGAGAAATCTGCAAAGTAGACTGACCAGCTTCCCAGAAGCTTACAGAACCAGTAAACTGCATTACCAGTCTCCCCTAAGGACTGCCAGAGTCACTTAATTCATGACCACCTGTTACCCAAGTTGCCCTAAACCACTGACACTCTGCCATAAACTTCAGCATTAAGAACAATCACCTTGGCTTAAAGCATGATTATAGCTGTTCACAAAATCATTTCTTTAAATATAAAAAAGTGAAATTCGTTTACATTACAAACTAAACCAGCAAATTCACTGCAACATTGTAAACAGCCTAGCTCACAAACTTTAAAATTCTAAAAAGACGTCCCATTTCAATCTAGAAGTAACTGTGGTACTAAATAACACAATCTGCAAGCAAATTTTTTTCTTTTACATTCAATGACCTTCCACAAAAGCCTGTAATGCAAGACTTAGGCAATAGCTAGGCAGTGGTGGTGCACGCCTTTAATCCCAGCACTTAGGAGGCAGAGGCAGGTGGTTCTCTGTCAGTTGGAAGCCAGCCTGGTCTACAAAGAGAGTTTCAGGACAACCAGTGTTGTTACACAGAGAAACCGTCTTGAAAACAAAAACAACAAAAAGAGAAGTATACAATAAAGGTGACTGTGGAGGGGATGGAACAATGGGGTCTCAATACCATGGAACACTTTAGTGAGCCACCCTGGTTACAGAGCGTGAGTGATGAAGAGGACTTCATAAACCAGTATCTCCTACTGTTTGCATCCTGACCCCCTTAGGACTGTAAGAATACACACAGCTCACTGCACTGTGAAGATGACATCAGTTTCTATTTTACCTAATGTAGATAATTACAAATGCAACTATCAGAAGTTATCCTTAGTTACATTGTAACAAACTGATCGACTGCTAGCAACCCATACATGAGCCAACACTTCAGTGGCCTACATTTCATATACTTCTTTTCAATCAAATCTTCCATTTTAAAGTTATTTCTTTACTGATATTTTATCAGTATTAATATTAATAAACAATCAGTGTTTTATCCATATTAATACAGATATTTAGTGGGTTTTTTCCACTTCCCATTATCACATAAAGTTCTCAATGATGTTTAAAAAATAAACTCTCTGGTTTACCAAAGATGGTGTCTTATAATTTTAACATAATTACTAAACATAAATGATAACTTCAGTATGAAATACAGCTCAAAAGAAAGGGGCGGGGGGTCTTCTGTTCCTCCTGCTATGGAAATAGATTCTTGCTATATTGCCTAAGCTGGCCTCCCAACTCCTGCCCCTCCTTCCCCAGCAACTGGATTATAGGCGCACACAACCATGCCTGACTATACGTATTACAAAATAGCTTCATGCTCTTCGGTAAGTCTTACTAAGTGCGAGCATCACTTCTATTCTTATTCCCTTTTCAATAGATGAGGTGGAAGGGAAAAGTCATCTTATGTGACTCAGACCTTCCCGAAACTACTTTTAAAAGACTTTGTGCTACAATATCAGTGAACCAAAAAAAAAAAAAAAAAAAAAAACACCTTTAATAATCAGTAGACAGATACACAAAGTTCCCTGCATTTTATTAAAAGAACAGGATTTTATTTGTGGAAGAAGCTATCAAGACATTCACGTCTCAATATCCATTTCAAATATTCATTTCTCAACTCAGTATTTGCAACTGCCCCTCTGTGGAAAGCGCACCATTTCGAGCCACTGTAACCCCGCAAACAAGGGCGCTGCCCTGGGTTTGACCTCCAACACCACGTCTTCAGACAGATATCATGTAAAGCTTATATATCATATAACACAGTGACTGAACTCTAAATATCACCTTTCTTGGCTAGATTTATTATTATTAAAGACTTGTTTCGTGTGTGTGAGTGTATTTGCCTGAATGTATATACATGCATGTTACGGGAGGTCCTCCCACTCCTCCAGCCTATCGCCGCTGAGATACCAGCCCATTGGGGCGTGGTCTCTCTCCCTTTAAAAAAGTGGCCACTTCCCTCTCCTCTCTCTCTTCAC